TTCCTGAAGACCCAATCACCTGACCCGCCTCTGCTTTCCTCTTCCGAATGTGCTCTAAATCAATCTCCATCTCCCTCGCCCTGGCGATCATGGACTCTAGGGTAGGGCAAGCTGAAAAACTAACATGCTCTCGGATGTCGGCCCGGAGCATATCATGGTAACGGTTCCTCCTCATATACTCGTCACCTGCATACTGGGCACCAACAAGGCCCTCTCTCGGAACTTGGCGGTGATCTCCGCCACAGTCTCAGTCGTCTGCCTCATATCCAAAAACTCCCTAGCCAACTGCTGAAGCTCGACCGCCGGTGCAAACTCTACCCTGAACCTGGTCACAAAGTCCGACCAGGTCATAGCCTCGATAGCTGAGGCTCCCAACGAGTCACCCACTGACTCCCACCAGTCTCGGGCTTGATCCCGCAAACACCCTACTGCATACCTCACCTTCGACCCCTCGGGGCAGAAACTAGTCAGCTATGCAGACTCGATGTCTGCAATCCATCGTCTGGCGGCAATGGGGTCTTTCACCCCGTGGAAATCCGGCGCACCACTGCCCTGAAGTCCTTAAAGGACAGTGTACAAGGTCCCTACTGGCCGGATGCCATGTCGCTACTGAACGCCCTGAGGAGATCCTCCATCAGCTCGATGATCCCTTCCTTGATCGACCCGAAGATAATGGGGGTCGACTCTAGGATACCCCTGGTGATCTCAGACGTGATGAACTCGCGCAGCCTCTCATCAACTGGCTCAGAACCTGATCACGAACCCGACCCCTCTCCTGAACTACCAACCGCTGGCCTCGGGCGTAGTACCACCATTCTGAAATGCAAGAAATAACAATCGTTAGCGATACTAATACCCCTGGAGGGATCCTACTCACTACAAGTTTCCCGGTCTCATCTTGGCCTTCCTTGGTTCGGGTATGGATCCTCTGCTTTCAATAGTACGGGCCCATACTACCTTCCACATTTATCCGTACCTTTTTCAAGGACTGCCTTAACTCCACCAGGTCCCTTACACTAAGGCTGGTCACTACTATACTCATCCCAGGCTCGCCCTAGGGGAATCATCGGCTCTACTCGATCCAGTCCTCAACTGCTGCAGGCCTCCTTGTAATGCCAATTAGCCATCACCCGAATACCATCACATGCAACGAGACCCAGATAATCCTTCGAGTACCCGACTCGCCCCTACAACGGTTGGACTCAAACAAGAGCTGCACAGTAGGATCAAATCCGGTACTCTAAGATTATTCAACCCTGATCACATGTGATGTGACGTATTCGCCTAATGGTTAATTTCCATTATTCAGAGTCCCACGTAGCACGAAGAAAGTAGCATTCAGACGAGGGAAACAACCTCAAGCAATTCCGCTTTCATAGAGAGAAACTGAACTATCACACCGTGCTAACTCATACTATCAGGCACACCCTAACAGGCTACCCTACTGCTGTCTACTCTATACTAGCATGCAATTCTCATATAGGAGGAACACATAAATCAGGAACATAAGGCATCACTCCTAGATCCTTAGTCCTATTCTAGCATGCTGTTCTACAAAAGCTGGTAAACATAACATAAACTTGTATGGGTACTTTGGGAAATACTTACTTGAGCTCGGCCGGTCACGCATATCCCACACACTTTGTTCTTTCTTAAGCACTTTTCTCCATTTAGAAAACATTTTCTTTTTTTTTTAAATCTTTTGATCCCTCGATTTGAGTTCAGACACCCCCGAAGGTGAGTCTGAATCCCTCAAACCAGGGCTCTGATACCAACTTGTAACGCCCCAAAATTTACCGGTTAAAAATTTCACTTTTAATTTAGATGAAAACGTAAAATATCATTACAAACATTCATGATAAAAATCCATGTCTGAAAAACCGGTGACATCATAATCAGAATTCAGAGTACATCCCAGAAAATTTGTAATGCGGAAACAAAAGGCGTATGTGTGATATGCTGCTACCGCGCCGGCTCCTTTCCCCTAGCTGAAGAGGTACCTGAAATCAAACTGCAAACCGTAAGCACAAAGCTTAGTGAGTTCCCCCAAAATACCCCATACCATGAAAGCATACCCACACTCGTGAAGATACGAGCCCTGCCCACACTTCGCTATCTGGGAGATACGGGCCATGCCCACACTCGTGGAGATACGGGCCCTGCCCACACTTCACTATCTGGGAGATACGGGCCTAGCCCACACTCCACTCTCGGAGAGATACGGGCCTAGCCCACACTCAACCGCCAACTCATATCATACAAGTATCACACAGACAACAAGTATAGACAGCTCTATCACACTAGCATATATCGTAATCACTCAATTAAGAGATACGGGCTCGGCCCACACTCTAATACTAACGTCTCGTCTATACGGGCCGGCCTTGGTGCCTTAGACCTGTTACTAGTGAAAGGAAACTCACCTCGAAATGGCTGCTGGTGTGTGTGGGAACCGACTGTCTGCTACTACTGCTACTCCGGGAATCCTCCGGCTGTAATTCCCACACATACTCAATCAATCACTATTTACTGCCTTTTTGGGTGAAATGCCTCTTTTCCCTCCCGACCATGCCCTAAGTCAAAGTCAGAGTCAACTTCCAGTTGACCCGACTCGCCGAGTTGGCTATCCAACTCATCGAGTCCATGTCCAAACGACTATCCAGGGTCCAGTTCCTACTCGTCGAGTTAGGCGTTGACTCGACGAGTTCTCCATCCAAACTGATGTTCAAGTCCTTCATCCTACTCGCCGAGTTGTATGAACAACTCGTCGAGTTCATCTTCATCCGATGAACACTCATGCTTAGACTCGCCGAGTTGTATGAACAACTCGCCGAGTCTGTTCTTGATCTATGAAGATTGCCTTGGACTCGCCGAGCCAGGCCATGACTCGCCGAGTCCTACCATGGGTGAGTTCAGCTTCCAACTCACCGAGTCACACCCTGTGACTCACTGCTCAAACTCGATACAGCAAAAAGGGGACAACTCGAAGACTCGCGAGCAGACTCGCCGAGTCACATGAACGACTCGCCGAGTCGTTGCCATGCACCCATTAATTACACCAATTTGTTCGATTCCAGTCCATGCCATTCACAGATCTGGGCTTCTAGGACACGAATCACACGTAAAGTTTCCAACTTTACGTGTAGATATTCACCAATATGGATTTTAGGGTTCAAAATGCCTCAAAAGGGTAGATCTAGGGTGAACAAGCCACATGGGTCCATAAAGCTAACAGATCTGAGCTCCTGGAGCTCAATCTTGCCTAGATCTAGAGGCCAAACAACTTATTACGAAACATTATGCACATACTAGCTTGGGGAATGGCTCAAGAATGTCTTAAATGAAACCTTAAGCATAGAAACAGGGGGAAAATAGGGTATACCTCAATGAAACTGCTGAAAGAACACAATGATGCTTGGATGGCTCTCCTTCCTCTTGATCTACTTCTCCTTCTTGCCTCAAAGCCTTCAAGAACACACACAATAGCCTCAAACTCTCAAGGAACAAGCTTAGAACTGGGGTTGGGAGCTCTGGGGGTGAATGGGGGCTGGCAAGGGGCGGATATGAGGTTTAAATAGGGTGCAAACCCCTGAAACTTAGGGTTTCATCCAACAGCGATGACTTGCCAAGTCTAGGATATGGACTCGCCGAGTCACCATCATAAACGTGTCCCGGGTCTCGTCCCTACTCGGCGAGTCGGACCTATGACTCGCCGAGTCCAAGGCTAAAAATGGAAAATACACAAATAAGATTTACATACCAGGAACCAGGTGCTACAATAAATCCTATGAAAAAAATCAGCCAGGGGGGAATCCCCCTTCTACGCATCATGCCAGAAAGAAGTCATATTTGCATCACCAATCCTAATAGGGCTGAGAGGCCTGAGATCAAGATCATCATTATTTAGTTGCACCAGCATCCGAATAACACCGTTCCAAGGACCAATCAATCCACTTCTCTGGGAGAGAGAACTACAACCACCATCCGGACCATAGATAGCTTTGACAATTTTAACCCATATCAGATCCGAATTATGAAAAAACCGCCAACGCCATTTATAAAGTAATGCCCTATTGAACGAGATAAGACTGCCAACACGACCTGCTCAAACCAAGAATTATGGACAACTTCATCAAAACCGACAAAGAATTACGGCCCAAAGACCTTCAATCATGATACCTCTAATAGCAAGTTGTCCCAACAACATTCAAGGTCCAAGAATTATGGACAACTTCATCAAAACCGACCTGCTCAAACCAAGAATTTAAAATACGAAAAGGAGATGGACCGTAATCCACCCGTTGCTCTAGTAATACAATAGGACGATGATCAGGGATATTTTTATCTAGAACCAATCCCATAATGTGAGGAAAATGCAGAATAATACCATCAGAGACCAAAAAACGATCAAGTTTAGAGAACTTAGATCTCCATTTATCGCTCCATGTATAACGAGGCCCACCCATAGGAATATCCATTAAATCATTCTGCTCGATAAACTGGTTAAAAATTCTTACTGGGATATGGTGGGATTGAGAACCAAACCTCTCATACTCATATCTGACTTCATTAAAATCTCCCATAACCACACATTTTCCAGAAAATGAAGAGATCAAGTTAGAGATTTCATCCCGAAGTTTTCTTTTACTGTCAACACTTTGGGGAGCATAAACGAAAATTAGTAACACATCCATTTTAAAAACAACCCAAATTCCTTTCACCGCCACATACCAATCGAAGATAATAACTTTGTTATGAATAAACGTATTAGATTCCCAGGTAACCAAAATACCACCCGAGGCACCGCGAGAGGGCGAGAAAGAGTGCGAAAAAGCAAGGTTACCCCAAAAAGATCGAGCAAGAGAGAGGTCAATTGACTCTTCTTTCGTTTCTTGAATAGCCAAAAAAATTGACTTTAGATTTGACACATAGAGATTTAATCCACACCCGTTTCTCAACAAAACTCGCTCCTTAAATGTTAATGGAAAGACAATTCATATCTAAATGATATTTCTAACTTGCTCCTCTTGAATAGTGTTTTTAACATGTTCCGAACAACTATTCATATTAAAACCAATATTTTCTCCCACTTCAATCGTTTTTTTAGATTCAACCTCACCTGAATTGGTGTTAAAGGAGCCTTTTGAGAACACTTCATTTTCACCATGGATAATGTTAGAAAAACCAGGAGGATGGGATAAGGAATCATCCATAGATGGAATGCCTGACACACGGATAAATCCTCCAGAAAAACCAACAGGAGCATGCTTATGTAAAGTGCCTATTTCCTTTTTTTGTGACCCGGAGTGAACATTGTGAACTGAATTGGTCTCAGAATTCAAAGCAGGAGCTGCTGTGATGTTGGAAAAAACAACATGGGCTGTTTGTGGTTTGACAACAGGAGCAACGAATTCAGGTGATACTTGAGCAGTATCGACGACAACTTGGCTAGTGGCATCCGTTCCAAGGGCAGCAAAAGAATTTACTTGCGATGTAACAGGTGAGCTGGAGGCACAACAATGGGTGGTATAATGGTAATGGACATTTTCTGTTGTTGAATTCCCATATTGCCCCTGCAGCCCCTCTTTCTTGGTTTTATTCTTTTTAAAATTACCCCAACTATTATATCCTTTTTGAATATCATTATTGACTTCGTCTACTTTCATCTTTTCAATAGCATCATAAATTCCGAACGAGTCTGATGATACTTCTTCATTCCTCTCAGCATATTGAAGATGTTCATCATTGTGTTCAATGCTTTGTATATCACTGTTATCTAGTTCTGGAGCAGGAAAATCGTGAACAAAGGAGGGAGTCCACCTAGGAGTTTCTTTTACTCTTATCCAATATGTAATCTTATCAACACAAACTTTGATTACCTCTAAAATTATAGTTTTTATAGAAGTTAGAATGCAGATCTTGTTCTTTTAGATATCTTCTCCCATATCATCATCAAGCTGGGCAATTATTCCCTATCTAGAGAGAATTTTTCTGAATGAATCTTTGCTCCAAGCGGAAAGAGGAAGTCCTTCAACATCAACCCATACTAAACGTTATGAGGGAACGAAGTTTCAATCCCATGGTTTTTTCTCTGCAATCAAATGATTTATTGTTGTGCTACTCAAAAAGTTTTTACAAGCAGTTTTGGAATTAAACTCAATCATCACCCACAAACCTCCAACATGTCTAATTTCAAAAGAATCAAATCCCTCGTCCATGCATAACACCCGGAGATTGAGAAGTGTGGAGAAGTTTCTCGCCTTAATAAGGCATGATGTCTGTTTTTTCTCAACTATGAAGTCCCCAGGAGTGAGTTCGATTATTTATTCCGTGTTCTTACTATTTTTCGTATCATGGAGTGAACCTCGGACCACAATAGCATAAGGTTTTACCCTGTCATCACTTTGCACTGTTGAGGAGAAGATAATGGGTTGAGAAGTTCGACCATTATTTGCTAAGGAACGAAGGAGGGATGCAAATAATTTGTAAGAGCCAAACCAAACTTCACGAAGTTGAATGATCAGGGAGTCACAAACAAGAACTCTAGAAAACCTAATAAAACCAAATCTTTTCCCCGATTTTGATAGCTTTTTAGCAATAAACACACCAACTATGTGCCCTAGTCGATTACATGCTCGATTACAGACCCTCTGAATGTCTCCAATTTGAACAGAGTCTAGAAAATTGGTGATAAATAAAGAGATTACATTAGAACTTACGTGACTTTTTCTTGGATCATAACTGGTACGATGAACCCTGTGATACCCATGCATGTTCCTGTTTCTGTGACTAACAGTCGTCCACGAGTTATCCCCCATCGAGAAGAAGTTCTGGAGTCACCGGCATTTGATCCCGTCGGTGCCTGATTGATGATCGAAGGTGTTATTGGGGCCGAAATCGCCGGTGACTAAGTGTGCGATTTTTAGATAGTCTCACGAACTGTTGTACTCCCTCCTTGATATTAAGAGTTCAAGTACTATTGTGGATATAAGTGAAATTAAAAAGTAACTTAGGAGTAATTAGATTTGTCGTTAAAAAAAAACTATTGAAATTAATAATTTCAAAAGTACTTGTATGATCATATTTAATTTTTATTATGGCTTATTTAAAATATTAAGCATCATTTTTAATCTAATGTTATATAATTCATATTATTATGTTACTATTATGTATTATTATATAATATTGTTAGTCAGTTTTAAATCACTCATTATATTATAATATTATAGAATATTTTTACCAATTGCTTATTATTATTAAAAAAATAATATTGAAATTAGAACAATAACTTATTTTTTTGTATCAATATAAAAAGAAGTGGAAAACTTTTAGTATTTCTAAGAAATATGGTTAGAGTAAAATGTCTCTTTATAATATTAAGGTTTTAAAAAGCTCGTCATCGGTTCACCATGACTCTAAGACTTGTATTCAATCTCACACCTTAACAAAATATAGTCAGTTTTAAATCACTCATTATATTATAATATTATAGAATATTTTTACCAATTACTTATTATTATTAAAAAAATAATATTGAAATTAGAATAATAACTTTTTTTTTGTATCAATATAAAAAGAAGTGGAAACTTTTGGGATTTCTAAGAAATATGGTTAGAGTAAAATGTCTGTTTATAATATTAAGATTTTAAAAAGCTCGTCAAAGGTTAGCCTTGACTCTAAGATTTGTATTCGATCTTACACTTTAACAAAAAATCGTCTTAACTCATATATATATATATATATATATATATATATATATATATATATATATAATAGTAGAAAATATATGAAAAAAATTATTAATTACACACAAAATTTCCACCTTAATTCACGTTTCACAAAAAATGTAGTTCATCACGACTCGTAAAAGGTTGAGACTTGATATTGCAACCAAATCACTCCTTAGTGTTATTTTGAGCCATGATATATATATATATATATATATATATATATATATATATATATATATATATATATATATATATATATATATATATATATATATATATATGTTTATATTCATTTGAGACCATGCTAATTTTGTGAGACCGTAAAACCAAAGTTAAAAACAATTTTAAAATGCAAAATAAAAGGAAAAATCCAAATTTTTTTTTAATTATTATTTTCGGAACTTTATCTAACTAAAAAAAATTTTAAAAAATAAAAATTTACCATTTTTTTTAAAATACGTGAAATATTCTAATAGAATATTACAGTATACATATTCTAATATGATTTTTAGAATGTTTAGAATATTCTATTAGATTTGCCAGATATGTAGAATATTCTAAATATTTTTTACTAAAATATGTAAAAAATGTATTTTTTTTTTGTATTTATATTTTATTTTATTTTTGGTATTTTTGGAAAATATATATTCTGAAAATAATATTGGAATTTTTTTTTCGAAAGTTCTCAGATATTTTGCATTTTAAAAGTGTTTTTGTTTTATCTAATAAATGAGTGCTTAGGATTGTGTTTCACGGTCTCACAAAATTAGGCCGTCACACACACACACATATATATATATATATATTATATATATATATATATATATATATATATATATATATAATATATATATATATATATATATATATATAAAGAGAGAGAGATTTATTTTAAAGAATGTTATAATTAACAAATAATTATATTTTATTAATATCTAATAATAATGAGTCAATTTAGAATTATTATTAAAGAGAATTTGAAAAATTCAAACTAACATAGACGCAAATAAAAATGACTTCGTTATAATACACTATCGATATATAGATATAGATTTGCATAGATCAATAACTAGGGATGAGCATCGTAATCGGGTATCTGCTTTTGGAATCGGAACCGTCTTCGAACTGCCGGTTTTGGAACTGGAGCTGCCTTAAGCGGTTCCGGTTCCGGTTCTTAAAGTTATGGAACTGCCTTAAGCGGTTCCGGTTCTGGTTCTCGTTTTTTCGGAATCGCTACCCGATGGGTATCCGCTGGAACCAGTCTATATATATATATATATATATATATATATATATATATATATATATATATATATATGTGTGTGTGTGTGTGTGTGTGTGTGTGTGTGTTATTTAGACCGGTTTAAACTATATTGTTCTGATTTTATCCGTCTTTGGTCCGAACTGATTTGATTTGGATCGAATTAAATTGCGTTTTATCGACAAAAGATAACAAAATTGATGTAACCGTGTTACCCGCTCCCGGAACCGGAACCGCCGGTTCCGGAACTGGTTCCAAACATTTAAGAACTACCTAGAGCGGTTCCGGTTCCAGTTCTAATTTTCTAGGAACCTTCGGTTTCGATTCCGGTTCTAGTTCTCGCCAAATGAGGGGGGTACGTGCTTATGCTCATCCCTATGAATAACGATTCCGTTGAGACTTGAGACTAATGCACTTAGTTTTTTTTTTTTTTAAATCCAAATAAAGATGACGATGATGATGATTTATCCATGGCATCCACTCAAAGAAATTTTAATCAAGATATAGGCGATTATCTAGATATGATCCAATGTCGTCTTTTCTAGATAGATACTCTCAACTTTATCAAATATAACTAATTACTTTGACATTTTTAGAGAAATTGTGTATGTTTGACAAAGTTTTAAAAATAATTCATGTGTAAAATATGTGTTATTTATTGGTCCTTATGTTCGAAAAGTTTTAGAGAAGGTCCTTGTAAATTAATATATTGGTCCCTACGCTTGCATGGTGCCTTGAAAACTATCAGATGGTCCATGTATTTGAAAAATTATAGAAAAATATTATGTTTTATCTAAATGTCTATATGTTTGAATTTGAGTAAAGTATTTCATACAAAATGATCATCACTAGGCCACCTTAATGGTATTTATAAGTTCAGTTTCATATATCGAAACTTTTAATTACCGTCAAAATGGTCTGATGTTGATCATTTAGTATAATATATACAAATTTGAGTTGTTCGAAATTTGAATCACACATACTTCAATCTTATGATGACATGTCGTTAAAAAAACAGTCATTATGTAATAATCTCCAATCCTCCCCAACATAATTTTTTTTACTGCTTCAAGACCACCTACCGAACAAAGCAAGTCACAAATAACATACATGCTCCTTAAACAGATTGGGGACAACCTACCAAACAAACTATTATTTGTTCCTCTTATTAGTTGTAATAAAAACAATAGACATGCTTGTTTGCAATCCAAGATGTGCGGATTACTATCACAACTAACATTTAGTTAGGAAATTCTATTCTTATGTAAACATCATCTATTGTAAGTCATGTATTCTAAGTAAAAATCATACTATATGCTTAATCAAAACCACCCATTTGAATCCAAACCCTTGATTTAAGTTCAAAACCTAATACAATACATTCCATCTGGTTAACTATGGGTTGAAAACACCAGAAATCCCGGTTCAAGTTAATAGGGACTAGGATCCTCTTATTGGGCCTAATGGACCAATAAACTTTCGATTTAACTACTTTGGACCTAGGAACTCTATATGATCTCTAATTGGACTCACTTCCAAGATATTAGGGTATTTTGGATCATATGGGCCTAGAATAATCCATCTTACTTCTAATTGGCCATGATGGGCCATAACTAGTTTCATAAGCCCTAATGGGTCGTAGATTACCTCCTTGGGCAACATTGGGCCGTGAAACTTCATAAAGGCCCAATAGGCCGAAAAATATTTGTTTTGGGTCTCATGATTTCGAACTAAGTCAAGGAATGGCCCAAACTATCTCATTTCCTTTCAACTAGCCCATTCTCGGTCTAATCAAAGAAAATGTAAAAAAAAAAAAAAAAAAAAAAAAAAAAAAAAAAAAAAAAAAAAAGATGGAAGATTCAACTTACTAGTGCCACCTCATTGTTGCATGGTGGAATTCCATGCTATAATACACCAAATATCAAGATACTTCTCATGCACCCATGCAACACCACCTCAACATTTTCTCCGACTCTTCTCTTACTACCCTCGGCCGAGAGCACCCACAAACACACACACACTTTCACTTTTAAACTCTCTCATAATTCCTCTCAAGCACAAGAGAAACTCCCTCGTTTCCTTTGCCATTTTCGTGATCTTGGGTGAGATTCCAAGAGTTTTTTAAAAAGTATCATCTACTTGGTAAGTTGTCATCATACATAAGTCATTGATTTCCATTATTAGGCTAAGAACACTCCCTTACATGGATTCATTTCATGTTGTAGCTTCCAACGACCATCAAAGTATCGAAACTCCTTCTAAAGAAGCACTCAACGCCGAAAACCACATCATCTCCTCCCATCTTTTCATCAAACCGAGAACAACAACCCAAAGTAAGTTCATACCCCCTTGATTTTGGTTTTATATTTTTTCGGGGGAGGATACAAGTTGCTTTGTGTTAGATCTATGTGTTTATGAATGCATATGTGTGTTTTATGTGATTTATACTATGAAAACTTGTTGAAAACATCACAAAACTTGAAATATTCACTAATCATGGTGAAATTTACAAACTAAAATAATTACATTTAACATACTATGAAGTGGAAGGTGAAAAAATGTGGAAGAACACTAGAAAACTAAATAAAATCGTGATAAGGACCATTTTTGACAAAATAAACAAAAGTTGAGGTTCTTATGTTAACTCACGGTTTTTAAAAGGTTCAAAAAGAGTTATTTTTAAATAAAAAAATGGATCTTACAATAATTATGGTTTTAAAAAGGGCCAAAAGTGTGAATTTTCACAAAATAGGCATTCACAGTTTCATGGGCTAAATTTTTAAAATTTTGACTTTTGTGGATTAAATTGTCATTTTAAACAAATTTG